TATTTGTTGGCGCTCTCCCCAGTTCACTCTTTCTAAGTTTGTGTGAGTGTGTGCATAAGTTGCTCTCACTGTCTACGGTTGTTGTATTTGCCTCTCTTGAATCTTTGATTTTTGTGGTGTGCAAGTATACTCTCTCGCTGAGGACTTTTGATCTGCTCCGTAACGGCTGTTTTTGTTGTTGACTCGCTCTCTCAACATATATTTTCGTTGCGCTCTGTAACGGCTGTTTGTTGTTGGACTCGCTCTCAACACATTTATACCTCTCTTTGTTGTGACATTTCTGTTTACATTCAGTAATTTTGTGATCTATCCCGATTGCCAATATGAGTTGCTGCAAAAAAGCTTGCACTTTCAGGCAAACAGTTGATTCTGCACAAGCGCAATTTATAAGTTGCTGGCTGTGTGATAACATGATGCATACTAAGTGTGCAGGTCTTACTGGGCGTGAATATGACAAGATTATGTCTACTACTAAAGCTGGTAGTGGAGGCATACGCTGGTCTTGTCCGATTTGTTTGGAAAAACAAATAAACTTTTCTAAAATGTATAGTGCTGTGAGGTCTCAGTTTTTAAAACTGAAGAAGATTTCTATGCAGTTGACCAGTGACATGGCTGCTGCTGAGGAAATCTTAAATCAGTACGGCTTTGAAAGTCCCTCTCTCTCAATTGGATACTCCTTTGTTGTCGGTAACTCCTTCTGTAATAGTACCGTCACCTAATTCGCTTGCTCCTCCCTCACCTTGCGCTTCTGTTTTGTCGTCGGCTCCCAATTCTCTAGATCCTCCTTCACCTTGTCCCATATCTGTTTCTCCTATTGACGCTTCTATTGAAACTCAAGCCCCTGTCCCAAATTTGGATGCTACTTCTATTGTTGCTCAAACAAAGAGTGACAATAAGTCAGCCTCTCATAGCATTACCTTATCTGTTGTCTCTCCTAGAAAGCAAGTTTTCTTATCTAGGCTTTCATCTGACACTACCATTGAGGCAGTATCGGCTTTTATCTCAAATAATACTGATTTATCAAAATGTACGTGGCTTAAACTCAAAACTTAAAAGTCTTTTCTTGCATAGTTTCAGTGTACAATATGATATTATCGCTTTCACTGAAACATGGCTAAGTAGTAATATTCATAATAGTGAAATTCTTTCAAGTAATTTCACTATTTATAGACTCGACCGTTCGTCGCGCAGAGGTGGTGGGGTGTTAATTGCGGTTAAGTCCATTATCCACTCTGAATTGTTTACCTTTTCGTCCCTTTATGATGTGGAGATTATAGCGGTTAAATTAACTCTGCCATCGTGCTCATTATACATCACATGTTCTTATATCCCTCCCTCTTCTGATGTACAAGTTTATGCACACCACATAAATTGTATTAAACAAGTTAATGAACATGTAAATGATAGAGATTGTCTTCTTGTGTTGGGTGATTTTAATATTCCGAACACTTCTTGGTCTTCAACTTGTAATGCAAATTACTTTATTCCGACAATTGATCACTATCTTTTTGATGAATTGTTTAACCTGTCTATGTTTCAGATGAACTCTATTTCAAACCATCTTAATCGCACTCTTGATCTTGTGTTTGTTAATCATGATTTGCTAATTAATGTCGCGAGATCAACTCCTTTCTCCTTACCTGAGGATATATATCATCCCACTTTAGAGGTTTTATTAACTATCGACAATCCTCCCTCTAATACTCCAATGCCTTCTAAACTTAGTCGCTGTTATCGTAAATGCAATTTCGTTTTGCTTAACGAACTAATTAATTCAACAGACTGGTCTATTTTATATGAGTCGGTTGATATTAATTTAGCATCATCGTTTTTTTATTCTACCTTAAACTCTATTCTGGATGTTTGTGTCCCTCTCCGCCGTATTTCGCCAGTTTCAAATAAGCCACCTTGGTTCACCAAAACTCTTTCGAACTTAAGAAACATTAAAACTAAATGTTTTAAAAATTACAAAAAGTCTGGTTCAAGTATTGACTGGTCCAAATATTCCATTGCCAAGTCAAACTTCAATCTTTTAAATTCTAGCTGTTATGAGAATTATCTTACACGTTGCAAACGTCAGTTTACTCGTGATCCCAAACAATTTTTCTCATTTGTAAACTTGAAGCGTAAATCCTCTGGTTTGCCGTCCTCATTTGTCCTTGGAGGTGAAAAAACATGCAATGATCAGGATTCCTCTGATCTATTTGCTGATTTTTTTCAATCCACTTATTCTTCTGCTGATCTCTACAGCAACTCATATCCTTATTCTCTTCCTGAATATGGATCTATAAATACTCCCAAAGTTACTGCATCCTCTCTGGCTGCAGCCATTAAGACATTGAAATCATCTTTCTCTCCTGGTGCTGATAATATTCCTAGTTGTGTGATTAAAGAGTGCAGTGTTTCTCTTCAGTCACAATTACTAAAATTGTTTAACTTGTCCTTGGATACTTCTGTGTTCCCTTCAATTTGGAAAGAATCTTTCATCATTCCCTTATATAAAAAAGGTGGAAGATCTGATATTTCCAATTATAGAGGCATCGCGAAATTATCTGCTATTCCGAAGTTATTTGAGAAAATCATAACATCGGCCTTGCAGCATTTTTGCAAATCGATTATTCAACCATCTCAACATGGTTTTGTTCAAAATCGATCTACGTCCTCTAATTTACTTGAGTTCACGTCGCTTGTTAATGACAGCTTTTCCAAAAAAATGCAAACCGATGTTATTTATACGGACTTCAGTAAAGCATTTGACTCAGTACATCATTACATACTAATTCTTAAGCTTGAACGCTTAGGATTTTCACCCAGTCTTGTCTCTTGGATTTCATCCTATTTAACGGGTAGAACCCAAAGAGTCTTGCTGAGAACAGCTATGTCTAAACTTATCTTTGTTTCGTCTGGTGTACCTCAGGGTAGCCATTTGGGCCCATTGCTCTTTTCCCTTTTTATAAATGACCTTCCTAGTTGTATCTCGTATTCCACTATATTTATGTATGCTGATGATGTAAAACTTTGCCTTCCATACTCCAGGGCAAATGGACATCTTCACCTTCAAGATGACCTAAATGCATTTCAACTTTGGTGTGTGGCAAACCAGCTTGACCTAAATTGCTCAAAGTGTATGACAATGACCTTCAGTCGTACCGTTCCTCTAATTGTTGATTATAAAATTAGCAATAATTCCTTACGACGCATCTTTACAGTCAAAGATCTTGGTGTATTCTTTGACTGTAAACTTAACTTTAATCTTCATATTTCTACCATAATTAATGAAGCCAAAAGTGCGCTTGGCTTTATTAAACGTTGGTCTAAGGAATTTAAAGATCCTTTTATTACCAAGCGCTTATTTACTTCGCTTGTGCGTCCTATCCTAGAGTATTGTTCTGTCGTATGGTCTCCGCAACATAAACTGTATCAGGATCGTATCGAATCGGTCCAAAAACAGTTTCTTCTCTTTGCCTTAAGAGACCTTAGATGGGACAGTAATTTACGATTACCGTCTTATCATAGTAGGCTCCAGCTAATTGATCTTCCATCGCTAACCAATCGCAGAACAATTTTAGGAATTGTTTTTCTGCATAAATTGATTAGTGGTGATATTGATTCGTCCTCTTTGTTGGGTCGTCTAAATTTTTTTGGTTCCGTCCCGAGCAACTAGACACTATCGTCCGCTTCATTTACCTGTGTGCACTAGGGATTATTCTTTGCACAGTGCGTTTCATGTTCTTTGTGTTAATTTTAATAAATATTATCACGTTTTTTCCTTAGAGCTCTCTCCTCCTAAAATAAAAAGTGTACTATCAGCTTATCTTAGGGAAATCACTCACAATGCCCAGGCATAAGCATTGGCATACGCTTTTGCTGCTAATGTTGTGTTAGTGATTTCTCAATTCTATTCTTATACTCTATTTTTGGCTCTTCCATTACTCTTTTCTTTTTATTATTTCTTATTCTTTTTATTAACTTTTCTTGCAACTTCTCTTATTACCGGCCTTTTTCTTTTTCTATACTTTACCTCTTCTTATTTTATTCTTTTTTATTATTGTTTTTTTTTTTTAACTCCTTTTATTTATTTATTTATTTTATTTTATTTTTTTTTAATATTATTATTATTTTTTATTTTTTATTATTATTTTAAGAATTATTTTAAGTATGCTAAATATTGTTTAATAACCTACATTTTAATATTTTATTTTTTTAAGTTTTCTTACTAACACTTTCTTTTCATAGCTTCAATAGTATCACTGACCATATTTGGCTGTGAGACGTGGGCATAGCCGGCCGGACTGGCAAATAAAATACCCCCATCGGGTTGGTGTTACTATTGAAATTATATCGTGTACTTTGTATAGGCTTTTTTAAATTAAAATTGACTCTCATTTTTGTCAATAGCTTTAAGAAAATAAATAAATAAATAATAAGGGAAATCAACCAAACGCTAAATATGCCATTTCAGCTCCATGCATAATGATGACTGACCGCGGTCCATGCAAATCCAACTACAAAATGTTTGCCTATGACAGCTATGATCAACAATGCAAAGAGTTTCAGTACAGTGGCTGCGGCGGCAATCCAAATCGCTTCAGTACCTATGAAGAGTGTATGAGTGCTTGTAAGCCCACAATCAAGAGAAACCTGACAAGTGAATTTGACTTGGATGAAATAGAAACTATTGTTATCTAAGGAACTGAAGATTATTAGGTATTGAATAATCACGCCTGACGGAGCAGTAGGAAACAAAAGACATGCAAATGCTAACCCGTTTCTCAACCAAAAATGCAAACTTGGATGTCCGATAGGCTATTCATACATATAATATGGTAAATAGGCCGACAAAGAGATGAACGAGTGGAACAGTCGGGTGAAGAGAAGATGGTAAATCACCTCAACTTTTCGCCTTGATCAAGAAAATATATACTTTATGTGGTCTGCCACGCCTTCTTCTGTCTATTATACAGCCAGTTTTTTGTTCGGGGTATAATAAAAAATCAAGCTACCGTATAATACTGATACAGATATCAGACGAATCTTCATTTCACTTCAATTTGACATAGCTAATCGGAAATGCAGTTTGGTATTGCCCCTCAGCGGATTCACTTATCACGCGTCTACCCCGGAAATGCGATCCGACTCAGCTGGCAGCAGCTCGCCCGGCCTGTAGACGTGTTTGTTGTTGTAGACTTCGCCAACAGCGCAAAGGTTTTTGTAGGTTCTGTCGCGTACCTTGCACAAGGCGCCAGCCTCAGCCCAGGGTCTGTAGATGGGCCTATTCAGCATGTTGTCGGTGGCAAAGGCGCAGACTAGATTGAATTGATGGGAAATGCCAGTGGAGAATCGCATGCCGCTGCAGCCGACGTGCGTATTGCGGTCCGCCATGAGCAGCACTGCCTGACGCACGGACCTGCGAGAGTATGTTCGATTAGAAAAATCAATTCAGATTGGTTCACGCTTACTGACGGCTTAGGAAATTCATTGGTCAGGCTCATCATCATGGCCCGGGTCACGAAGCGCGCGTCCTCAAACCAGCCGGCGAGTAACTCCTCCGTAATCTCCGGCACCTTATGCAATTTAACACTGCCCGTATAGGTGAGTCCGTCGTAGATGCTGCCAATGGTTGTGAACTCGGGCGAGGACATGCAGGGACGCGGATATAACCGGCACTTCTTCATATATATGATGGCAAAGTTCTCCAGCTCCCGGGACCAAGCCATACGCGCCATTCGTCCGGCCGGATACAAGCTGCTCGTATAGCCCAGAGCCACCTTGTTGCGAAAGCTGTTGAACAGATGCAGCAGGTGGGCCTTGTGCAAGAACAAGTTGACCATCTTGGCATCTGGAGCGCATGTGGTGCTCATATTCATATTCTGCACAGCAACAGGAGACAAAAGCAGGAGTTAGCCACAGTGCCTCATAATACGCATACATACTTTGCTACTGTGACATCCTATATTCCTGACGCCACAGTGCACGGTCTTGCAGTAAACATCCGAGGGAATATCTGCTGTTTTCTGGGCTGCCATGGCCAGCCCCAAAAGACACAAATGCAGCGCCAGTGCTAGCTGTTGATAATTAACGGAGGACATGTTGAGTCGACGCCTCCACTGGGAATTATAACTGAAACACAATGTGTAGGCGTATTTTTATAGATTTCCATTGCTCTGCCCTTGCGGAACAGAAAGCAAAACACCTGTGAAACCTTAGCCATAGCATATGAACAAACACTTTCTTTGTTTCCCAACTGCCATTTCACATGAAAGGTATTAGCATTACAGAAAACTAGCTTTATAATTGTATTACCTTTGTTGTTTTAGAAAACAACGCAGCTCAACATTTGCAGAAATGTCTGGTAGAACGAACGTTTTTGGCTTTGACTAGTTCAGTCTGAGTTCTTCCACTTGTCTCTATCACACGCATGTTCGACCTTGGAAACAAAATGTATTAGGGTGCACCACATATGTATTTGTAGGTGCAGCATATAGTTAACAAATAGTAAGGCCTGCACGACTGCTTAGCATATCAAATACAACAATTTAAGAGAGCTTACTGGATCTATAGCCTACAGGTTACACTCTGCAGAGTTTCATGAGTCAATAAGCTCATCTTAGATATCGGTCACAGAGATTTCTATAGCATGTCAACAAGCTGCAAACGTGTGCTAGTATTATATTAGTATTTTTAGTATTATTATTTTTAGTATTAATCTCAGTATTATATTACCATGAAAGCAAAAGCTGAATTATTATTTTATTACCATAAAAACTAAGCTATAAACTTGAACAAAATTTTTTAGTATTTTCAGTATTTTTATTTCTGGAATTAATGTCAGTACCATAAAGGCAATACCCAACGTATGCATTAGTATCCCACAAACTCTTATTATTTATATACATATTAAATTCTTTACAATTATAATTAACAATATTTCCTTATTATTTCACTAATTTTTTTTTTTTTTTATTTTGTATCAAACAAAAATGTTTTTTAAACTGTCAGCTGTATAATTTTTGGTACTTTCAGCCCATCGAGTCCACTTGTTTAATTGAAAATTTCACAAGCTCAAGTTTTGAAATGGAAATATGGATATATAATCGTAATGAGCTGTCGCCGAGCAACGCAACAGCGCGCAGACCGAGACCAGAGCCGAAAACAACAACAAAAACAAAATAAGAAAAACCCAAAAATGAAAAACATAAATGAGGCAAAGATCTCGTTCATGTTTCATGTTTCAAGCCGCCTGACAGATGATCACTCTTAATGATGCTGCGAGCTACATCGCCGACGACGAGCACAGCACTGCCACAACTCTCATTATTTTTCAAGCATTTTTTATTTTTGGTTACTACAAGTTTTGGTGCACTTCACTCGATTTGGCAGATGCGTCAGCACTTGACCCGCGCCGGCTCAGAGCTCGAGCCCGAACTCAAAGTCGAACTCGAGCTCGAGCTCTAACTCGAACTCGGACTCGGACTCGGACTTGGCTGTGGATTTGGATTCGGACACGGGCTCCATCTTCGACTGTGTCCAATGCTTGTTAAACGCCAAATTGAGTTGACGTTGACGTAATGCCGCGCCACTCGACCAGGTCTCACTTTTTTTGCTCGCTGATGAAGTGCAGCATCTGCGCTCGCTGTTGTCGGTCAATTAGCTGCGCATATCCCAAAGCCAGCCAAGGCACAGCGGCAGCACAGCCGACACTGAGGAGGGGGTCACATCGAGTCTTTAATTGGCATAAGTTACGTCCACGGAGACAATTTGTTGAATGCCTCAAAAGTTCACAAGTGCAAGCTAACTATGTAAAAGATTGTCAGCTTAATGCGGAGAAATATGTTGAAAGCTACCTGCACTTAAATATAAATATTTCAGTTAATATATTCTTTTATTGCTATTATAAATATAACATCTTACAGCTTCAGTTTGAATCGGAATCTGCCATAGACTATACTCTGCCGTGGAGCGAATCCAGTTAATTGAGATACAAATTTGTGCATGATGCTCAAAAGTGCTTTAAAAAGTCTAAATTCCTCATTATACATTCTTGTTCAAAAGTTATCTATCGGCTGAGGATCCACTCGACGCTATCGATATAAAAGACGCTGATAAAAATCGTCTTCCATCGTTTTCTTATCTAAAGCGACATTTCATGATATCTATGATATATTTAAGTTTAAGTATTTACAAAAGGTTACTGCCTTACCACAGTATCTCTAATCTGGAGTATCTATAAAGAGCTACAGTTTCTCATGATATGTGACAACTTTAACCACTGAAATCCTAGCGCAGATTTGAGAACTGCTTGCTTCTCTTTATAGAGCATCTACAGGACGAGTACTTTAAGTCAAATACTTCTTCCTTTGATTGCTTAGGCAGCTCTAGATATTGTCGCGTTCAGTACTCCTCGAATCGGAAACTAGGCGAATGCTACCAGGTTCTGTCATCTAGCATCATATTTGTGTTTGTTAGTGGCTCTGATCTGGTTAGCCTGGCCTGTCCACTCATTGTCGCGGCCCAAATGCAGCACCACCCAGGCCACGCAGTGCGGTCAGTGGATAAGTGGCGCAGAGCGCAGAGACAAAAATAAACAGGCGCTCCACAAAACGGTAGCCTTTTTGGAGCTAACAACAATGGAATTGTTGTCGTTCGCTTTGAAAAGCGAAAGAAATGGTGAAAATAGCAAAAGGCCAAATGCGGACTGACAAAATGTGCATAGTATATATATAACTATACCTATACCTATATATATGTATCGGTATGTGAGTCTATATAGTACGTATATCGGTCGCTCTGTGTATGATAAATGGCATAGTTTAAAGCAAGTCAAATGCTGGCGATTGTCCAGGGTTGGCTTGTGGCGGCACAATGTAAATTTCCATGGACTATTTTGACTAGCTTTTTGGCCTTTAAGTAGTCCTTCTGTGAACGCTGCCAGCCGTCTAGTTGGCTAGGTCGTTGCGGCTACAGCAGCAGCAGCTGCCCCCGGTGCTGATTTATGAAAGGGTCTCATAATTTACCACAAATATGGACATAATTTCATATATATAAATACTTCTCTTTTTTTTTGGAGGCTTTTACTTTTTGGTGCGCTAATGAAGCGGCTGGCGAAGGCAAAACCCCGAAAAGAAACTGAACTTAAAGCGGACTGGCTCAGTGCTAATTTAAGTGTCCGCCCGATGGCCACTTGTTGCGCTCGTTGTTGGCCATCGTTTCCTAGCAATCAGCCAGAAACGTGTCACTCCTCGACGGCACACTATAATCAACATTAAGCCAGTCGGCCAGCCAGCTAGCTAGCCAGCCAGCTAGCCAGCCGGTCGCCTTCAATGTGGAGCAATGTGTACAATCACGTCCGGCTGCATCCTGGCATGAGACGCTGCCCGCTGGCCCTCGCTGCACAGCCACGCTTCAATAAATGTCACTCCTCGAGCTTTGCATCTAAAAATTGATGACAATAATTTGTTGCATTTGCCCGAAGGGGGTGTGGCCAACCAGCTAGGCAGCCGGCCAGCCAGCCAGCCAGCCAGCCAGCCAGCCAACCAGGCTGGCATGGCAGTCAGGCCAACAAATTGTCTTGGCAGACAGTTGGCTCTAACTGTCCCTGGCAGCGTTGGCGTTCGAGTTGGACGCGACGCGATGCCCGCTGCCGTTTTTCGACACAATTTATACAAAGTGTCGCAGTTTTTGGCGCTTTGCATTTGTTGCTGACAGGCAGCAGGCAACATGCCCCGCCCTGCTGCACTTTGCAGCCAGCCAAAGCCAAATCCAAAGAAATACAAAAATCAAACATAAATTTCGTCATTTTGTCGCAAGTCGTTTCGTATACCCTAACCGCAACAGGGTTTAGGTGGGGCCAGGCGCTGATTGCCAAGCGCTTGGGAAATTGTTTCATGCGAAGTAAAAACATTTAGCTAATTTATTTATTTACATGTTTTGTGCCGTTGTTGTTGCTTTGTTTTTTTGCTTTTGTTGGCTACGCTTTGATTTGATTTCGATTGCATATTTTTCAAACTGATAAATTTATTGACTTTCCGACCGACAAACAAATCACCTGCGATAACACAAACGAAACTCAATACAAATTATAATGGCCAATACGCTGCCACTGCCACTGCCACAGCCACTGCCACTGCCAGAGGCACTGTTAATGCGTTTGCCACTGCAACTGTTGCTGCCACAGCCATTGGCACTGGCCGCTTGTAAATGGCATCAATTGCGACCTTTTGGCATTCTTACGGAAACATTTCGCTAATGAAACCGATACCTCAAGTGTCAAAGCCAGCCGAGACGCTGCTCCTGCCCGTTAGCAGAGCCACACTCACACATACACACACTCACACCTTGCCACATTCTAAGCCCAACTACTAACTTATGTTGGTCATAAAAATGTTAAGCGCACAACATTTGCCACATTGCCACCTCTTGGCCACAATGAAATGGAGCACGCATGTGGCTCAGCTCCATGGCCGAGATAAATCCAACGAAATTGGATGCCACAGTCGCAGTCGAGCCGGGAAGGAGTGGCAATACGCAGCTGCAGCTCATTAGGAGACATCAAAATGTGTTCGCCTGAAAGACTTCATGACTCTGCTGTTCCATAAAATATGCTAACTTAGTTAGTGGCAAACTATATTAAATGTCTAGAAGAAAGCGGAAACTAGATCAGAGATAGTTCATAAAAATAGAAGCAATGGAAAAGGTATGAGGTAGTCTAAAATAGCAAACTAAGGAGATATATCCTTGATATAGATATAGATATTGTAATAAATCAATAAGTGTATTAAGGGAATATATATATGTACATATGTATATTGAAATACTATATAGATCTCCTTAATCAGTGTGTTTAGGAAAATATTAGTAGTCGTAGTATATGTCAGTATGATGTCAGACCGAACAGATACATCCTTATACAGATTTATCTTAAGGAAAGTGACAATTGAACAATATCAGACAGAGATTTCCTGTGCTCTCTTCACTTTGAGGTAATAGTATCTAAAGCAGCTAGTTGTGTGGCTAATGCAGCCTTGGCGGCTGATGAATACGTTAGCTGATTGATTGCTCATTTAATTATTTCATTACAAAACGAACACATCAAGTAATAATAATAATAATAATAATAAAATAAT